AAAACGCGGGCATAGCTATTTCCTAGTAAAGCAGTTTCCTCGTAAAGTCCTAGTAATGGTATTACTAGGACTTTACGAGGAAATAAAAACACGGGCATAGCTATTTCCTCGTAAAGGCCTAGTAATGTTACTAGGGCCTTACGAGGAAACAAAATTCCTTATATAAACTCGAGCAATCCGATTTCTCATTTGTAGTAAGTTTCTCTCTGAATTCTCTTAAGGTTCTCTCTATTTCCTACTTAGGTGGTTAGATTAGAGAATTTAGATTAGGTAGTTAGATTAGGGAATTTAGACTAGGTGGTTAGTTTAGGGAATTTAGATTAGGTTAATTTAATTTTTTAACTGTTTTTTTTAAATGATACTAGTATATTAATGATACTAGTTATCGAGTCGGGATGACGACTTCGTTCGTCAATTTTAACGAGCAACATCCGTAGTTTAGTTTATTTTCTCTTTAATTGTATATGAATTTAAAACTTAAATATTTACTTATTTATAAAATATTTTCTTATTTCTTTTTATTTATAATTTGGGTTCTTCAATTTTTTTAAATATATTATTTATATTTATTTTAATTATTTTTTTTAATAGGGAAAAATATTTCAAAGTAAATTCCTAGTAAAGCATTACTAGGAAATTACGAGGAAAGTGGTTACTAGGAAATTACGAGGAAAGTGGTTACTAGGAAATTACGAGGAAAATGGTTACTAGGAAATTACGAAGAAAGTGGTTACTACGAATTTACGAGGAAAAAGGCTTTACGATGAACGTGTTTCGACGAAACGCGTTTCCTCGTAAGTTCCTAGTAAAAGGCCATTTACTAGGAACTAACGAGGAAAACATGCCCTAGTAATGGACGAGTTTTCTTGTAGTGTAGCACTGAGCTGTTTTAGTTGTTTTATCGACAATTTAGCATTGTCAACAGATTTTCGTATACATATGAAAAGTTGGAGCTTCCAAAATTTCACAATCAATTTTATCTTTAGTTATCTTTTTATTAAACTGGGGTATTCTATACTTGTGTAAAGACCTAGACTAATAATCAAGACGAGGTATAATCCATAGATAAATTCTCTCTCAAAATATTTAAATGAACTGAAAACAATGACTCATATTTATGTAGAAGTCTCGTAGAACAAGTAGATCATACTTGAAACATGTTGACTTTTCAAGCTCTTTCTCTTACCAGTTACCACAAAGTTCCGGACACCTTCGATATGAATACCATTTTAATGGTATAACTAGAATTTGATCTATGCATCCACACAAGATTAATTTTACATTGTATAAATTGTTTAATAACATTTTGAACATATATACAGTACAGGTTATTTAGATATTTTAGGTTTCTACAAATATATTTAGTATTCAGAAGAATCCGACTTAAATCATGTTTGAAAACTTAAATATCCGAAAAATTTAATTTTCAAATTCAAAAAACGATACACGGAAAACTGATATGTATCCGAACATGTACCTGAATGTCTATGTTCAACTGATTATATAAAAAAAATAATACTTTATTAACTGATTTGAATTCTTATACTAATAAAATAATTTCATCCAAATATGTAAAATAAATAGCGTTGGATTATTATGGTAAACACAAATAATAAATTAGTTTAAAGGAGTGAAAAAATGTAATAAAACATTTTAAAATAGATAAATTATGTGTTGTATTTTTATAATAAATGATGTCAAATTGTTTGGAAAGAAATAATTAATAAAATAATTATGATATATGAATAAGAAAATAAAAGATGTAATAAATCTGTCCCAAAATAAGATTAGTTCTATTTTATATTAAATTTTTAATAGTATAAATACTCATAAAGTTATATAAACAAAAAGTATAATCTCGCCTCCGCCCGGATATCACTTGCGCACGGCACCTCGCAGGCTTCTCTCATCTTATATTAAAATGTATGCATTGTTTTCCTTTAGAAGATATACTAGATTTTGACCCGCCCTCAAGAGGGCGGGCATATTTTTTGTTTTTAAATTTTTATATAATATAATTATATTTTTTTGTGCTGCTATTTGTATTGGTCTCAGTTTGAAACGTGAGTTATGGAATTAAACCTGTTCGACAGTTTAAGTTATCTAAAAAGTGGTCCCAACTATTTAAGAGTTTACAATGGAAGTTACTCAATATGAATCCAACATACAAAATAGTTATCTATTTTATTAAATAATAATCATGAGTAATTGATAAATGTTAGGGAAATTCTTTCAAACAGATTATTTTTAAGTTTTTATCACAAAATAGATCTCAAAAATTAAAATGACCAAATTAGCATTTTTATTTTGAAAATTTTAAATTTTTTTCTAATTTTTTAAAATTTGAAATCCTTTCCCCAAAACCTCACTTCTCAACTCTAAACAAAAAAGTCAAGTATTAGTTAACCCAAGAGGTTAAAATATATATTTACTTACTTTTTATAAGACATTTAAGTCTATTGTGGTCATTTTTATTTTTAAAGTCTATATTCGTGACAAAAACATTTTTAGGTTTATCTTATGGAAATTCTCTAAATGTTATATCTAACCGATTGTTCCAAATGTCTACTTTTTCAAATTAATAAATGTTGGACCTTATATATAAAAATCATTTATTTTTCAGTAACTACCTTTTTTATATACCAATGTTGGACCGATTATTCTAATGTCTACTTTTTTTTTTTATGTTTCCACAGTTTTTGGGGGCCCACTAATCTAAAAGTCGACAGTTTTATATAATCATCAATTAATTATTCCTTTCCTATCATTTATTATTATTAACAAAATATTTAATTAGTTAAATATTGAAAATAAGTTCAATGACAAAAGATGTAATATGCCATGTAGTAATAGGGGTCATAGTTAAGAGTGATCCAAAATTAATAGTATTGATTTTAATTTTAATCGAATAATTTATTTAAAATCCATTAAACTAAATGAGTTTATATGAATATTTGTTTCTGTTAAAAGTCTACTTATAAATACTAAATGTCATTAATAACCCGTTTTACCACTAATATATATTAATATTAGATAACTTTATCTATTCTAATTACATTAATTAGAAAATACAATCGTATCTACATTAATAAAAAAATAATATGTGATGTAATTTGAAAGAGAAGATAAAATTTATCATTGTCAAAGTTCCAGTTATTTTTTTGTGATGGAGTTTTATTTATAAAATGTAATCAGTATTTATATTTTGAAACATCACATGTATTCATCCCTAAATAATAATGTGAACGAACATTGTATTTGAAAATATGTCTATTTACTTTGGTTTGTACAAACTGCATATAATTTAGAGTATAATTTATAGGCCTCGTACTTATATCCATTTCTTAATTTGGGTTTGTACAAAATGCATATATAAATATATTAGGTATTCAGTTTCAAATAATGGTTTTAAATGCAGTTATATATAAAAAAAAAGTTCAAGTATTTTTTGTTCAGAAAAAAGCTATAGTATTTTATTGATTATGATTATTTTTAAAATAAAGGATGGTTACAAAATCTATTATATTGAAATGTGGCATAGTGAGTTAGGCTTTTTAATAGTGGCCAGAGTTGTGACATAGCTTTACTGTTAGTTATGAAATTGTGTATATGATCGTGGACTTGATATTATATATATACTCAATTATCCAATGGTATATTTGATAGAAACAAATCGTGAAAGGGGAAGTAACGTAACTGCATCAGTTAATTCATGTTTAACGTTGGATTAATTTTAATAAATAATAATTGCAGTTATAATTGTGGGTGCCGATTGTTAGGGGGAATGAGGGGTAGTTACATTCCAAAAATAATATGGTGGATATGAAAAAGTACATTTAGTTAACATAATTAATTGGACTCTACTTTTATCAATAGGTCACACTTGTGTTTTAATAGAATAGATATAAAGTTTACAATATCTCAGTGCTACAAAAATTCAAATCACCTAAATATGGATTTTAAGTGATTTGAATTTTTGTAGCACTGAGATATTGTAAACTTTATATATATCTTCTAAAGGAAAACAATGCATACATTTTAATATAAGAAATAACACTTCAAAATTCACTAATACATAATAAATTTTGTCCAAAATAATACATAATAAAAATAAATTGTTTCGTCAAATTAAATACCAAATTTCCAAAGACCAGGGTGGCAAGTACACTTGGTCAATACATATGTACCTTATTGCTTCTTTATAATATATCCGATATATTATTACTCGGGCAACTCTTAACATTAACACTAAAACTTGATCCGTACATCTTTACAGACTTTTTTTTTCATGTTTTAAGAATCAATATAAGAATGGTTTATGTTTTATATTTTATTTTTAGAAAGTATTGTCATATCACTATTAAATTAACTAAGTTTATCATAATATAACTTATTTGTCATTTGATAAATTTTCTGATTGCATTTTAGCTAATATAATATACATTTGTTATTTTATATTTGAAATAGAAATGAATATTTTTTCTAACAAAATATTTTTAAAATGTATTTCAAAAACTAATCAGTTTAAACTATAGTTATCAGAAAATATAATTAAAATATTTAATATAGTTTTTATTTATTTTTTTCAAATAAAACACATTAATTTTATTTTCTAATGATACCCTTATATTTTATGATAATCAGGATTTAAACTAATTAAATTTCTTAAATAATTTTAAAAAGATTCTAAAAATATTTTTGAAAGATTTTATCCAATGGAAACATCCCAAATCCAGCATCTCGGACATACCAAATATCACTTTTACAAATTATATAGGTAAAAAACTGTTTATGTGAAAAACCATATGATAGGCTTTTACCATAGATTTTGATACCATATTAATAATGAACTTAATTCACACTAAAAGCTAACTAAAGAATGAATGATTGTCAAATCACATATATATTTTCCAGGACCACTATCACCACCTATGTGGGATATACTAATAGACTGCATCGGATATAATGGTGAAGATTGAAGATCGGAAAGGAGATGCGCATGAAGGTGAAAGAAGATGAAAGATTCTAAGGTAGAGTTAGTTTTTTAAGTGAACGCGTTGACTATTATTAATCATGTAAGTGGTGCAAGCTTTGAACATTTTGGATACAGATTTTTTGTCAAGTGAGTTTTGTATTTTGCGGATTAAATTAAAAAACTACATTGACGTTTTTTGCCGAGAACCCAAAAAGAAATATTTCTCACGAGTTTCTCCCATTAACTATTGACTTTACTAGAAAATAAAATTAGTGTGTAGCACTAAGAGATTGACGGTAAACTTTCTATCTTAGCGCAATGCATAGTTTTTATATAAGAAATAATAGTCCAGCGTTCAATTATACATAATAACAATATGAAATGAATCTCTTCAAATCACAGCAAACTTCCATAGACCAGGGGGCTTACAATTACATGTGTACAGTAACATACGTACCTTATTACTGTATAATATTAGATCGGACAGATTGTCATTGGAGAAACCGTAGCATTAACATTTCAAGCTGAACATCTCTTAGTAAGCGTGACTCTAAGCCCATGTTTCATGAACAGATTAAGACGAGGATTTGGCTCAACCTTATGTCCTTTGACGAGGTTAATGTCATAGTGTTGTAAAATCTCCACGATTATGGTCTTCATTGAAGTCATAGCTAAATGCTTACCGGCACAAGCTCTTGGACCGGAGTTAAACACAAAGAACTTGGATGATGGCTCATGTCTCAACCCACCAGTCTCTGAAATCCATCTCTCTGGCTTGAATTCCAACGCGTCTTCCCCCCATATGGATCTCATCCTCCCTAACGCATAGATAACGAAAATAATGTTAGTGTTTGCACTGATTTTGTGCCCACTTGGAAGTACATCTGATTTTATAGAAGTCTTGCGCTCGAACGGAATTGGTGGATAGAGCCTCATCGTTTCATATAGTGCCGCATGTAGATAGACCAACTTGTTCAGATACTCTCTGCGATCGGTAGCCGACCATATTGGGCTCTCTAGACTCGGTAGATTTGTGTTGATCTCGTGGCGAATCTTGGCTTCCACGTTAGGGTTTTTTGAGAGGAGCCAAAAAAAACAAGTGAGAGCACTGGAAGTGGTATCCCTTATTGCGACAACTATAGCTACAATGGTGTCTCTAAGAAACTTGTCATCGCTTGGATCCAAGAGCTCGTACTTGCTTGTATCTAGCTTTATGTGATACGTTAAAAGATCTTCACTTTCTCCATCTGAATTCACATGAACATGATCATCAATCCCTTTTTGTGATCTTATGATCTCTTCTCTCTTTGCAGCTATGTATTTTTCGCATACTCTATCAAATGTTTTACCCGCTTCTATCAGCTTCTTCTCCTTTCCCAGGCCCAACCGGTTTTGCAACTTCCACAAGAATCTTGGCATCATAACCCTAAAGACAACGGCATCCCCAGCATACTCGAAGGCTTTTGCGAACTCAACCTCTGGCATGTCAATGGAGAGAGAATGAGGATCTGACCCAGTAGTTGTTATTAGGGATAAAGGTCCCACATCGGTTGTTGGAAGAGATCTCTAGCAATATATAAGATAGATGGGCCACTCCATTTATTACCAATTGGTTTTAAGTTGGAAGCCCATCCAGCTTAATATGGTATCAGAGCCCACGATCCACGCAGTCCAACCCGATCCTTATCGATCCAGCCCAAAGTCGGCCCATCGATCCTTGCCCGAACATTCCGAGATTGACGCCAAAGAGCCATCATCTCGAGGGGGCGTATTAGGGACAAAGGTCCCACATCGGTTGTTGGAAGAGATCTCTAGCAATATATAAGATAGATGGGCCACTCCATTTATTACCAATTGGTTTTAAGTTGGAAGCCCATCCAGCTTAATAGTTGTAACTAGTGTTGTATCGAACATGAATCTCCGGAACACATCTTGCAAGTCCACCACTGTCCCTTCCTTTGAATAGTGACTGAAAAGAGGACGAAGCACGTCCTTGAGTTTACTTGTTGTGACATTCAATGACAAGTTTTGAAAACCTTGATGATGGAGGATGACATGAGCAGACGTTCTTAGATTCTTCCATAACTCTGAGTCGGCAGTGATAATCGTGTCTCCATAAACATCAAATATCTCTTTGAACTCCGGTCCTTTGATGTAGTTGGAGAAATTTGAGCTCAATATATGATGTATATTAGCTGGATCAACCGTGACAAACATATCGGTTCTAGTGAACCACGGACCCTTGTATAGAAATGTCAAGTTGTTCTTCTCTAAGACCAAGATGATATCATCGATCCGACTGAACCTCATGAGCATAGCTGGAAGCATCCCAAGAACCGGCCAGTTCCAAGGGTAGCTTTGAAGGGCTTTTTTGATGTGCAAGTAACCAGAGTGTTTCTTGTTGAGAAAGTAACAGAAGATGAGAAAGCAAAAAAGAGATAATGATGCTTCAAATATGCTGATAGAAGCCATTAGGGAAGTTTGATAGTGGGTATAGTGGAGAAGAAGAAGAAAGAACTTGATTTATATACACCTGGTAAACTCTAGTACAGTTTCACTACGCTATTTAAAAAGTATATATTCAGTTTCCTATTAGAGATATCTTAGAGAACATGATGCCCTCTCCAATACACAAGGCACACATCACATGTTTGAGATATGTCAGTGCAAAGTTGCTTAAATGAATGGCTTTCTTGAATTATACACACGTGATATATAAATACTACAGGTCCCTATTTTCACTACATCTATTCAACTAGAGGCTCTACCTTTTGATTCATATTGAAGATAAGTAGGGAAAACAGCGTGTCTTTATTGAAATAACCATGTGGATAATAATCACTGTAAGAAGTAGCTGAACTGTGAAGTGATCTCTCCTACATGCATCCACCGCAAAGAAATTTTAAGTCCTGACGTTTAATTAATCTTGAGGAATAAGCAGGGCCGGCCCTGGGGCATGCCTAATGAAACATTTGTTTCAGGCCCCCGAAAATTTTGAAGAAAATTACATAAGTATAAGCCCCCAAAAAAACTTTTTAGGCCCCCAAAAAATTTTCTTACATTGAAACTGTCATAGGCCCCCAAAATCTCAGGGCCGGCCCTGGGAATAAGTTAGTCAAATGAGAGTTTTCTCGATAATGAAGTAACTTGGATGAATAGATTTCTTGGGGAGAAAGTAATGCCAGGGGTTGATGTCTTGATGAGGAGCTAGCAATTGAAGTGTTTTCTAGTTGCTTTGTCGACAATTTTAGCATTGTTACGAGCTTTCCTCGCATGAACCATATATTTAGGCGCTAATATCCATTTTAAAAAACTATATACTGAATTCATATAATCCATATTATTAAAACGGAAATAAAAAATAGAAATAAAGTTATTTTCAACAAATTTATTATATTTTTATTTATTTTCAATGATATTAACTACTTTATTTTTCTTTTCAAATAACTTGACAGCATTTATTATAAAAATACAAAAAAAAATAGTACTTATTTATTTAATTCTAAGTGTTTTATTTTATCTTTTTGACAACATTTTTATTCGTCTTTTATTTAATTTGACAGCATTTTATTATAAAAAAAAATTATTGTTAACAGATTTGAATTCTTGTATTAATGGAACAATTTCATTCAAATACGGAAATTTATTATGATTAACACATAAAATAAATGACGAATAATTATGGTAAATACAATTAATCGAGTATATTTTCCAAACTACTTCATTAATTGTATTTACCATACTTCATTAATTATTTTATGTGTTAATCATAATAAATTTCCGTGTTTGAATGAAATTGTTCCATTAATACAAGAATTCAAATATGTTAACAATAAATTTTTTTTTTTGATTACATAATCAGTTAAACATGAGAATTCATATACGGGAAAATGGTCTTTTTCGACCCCAACATTTCGGATCGTGTTTTTTTATACCCAAAGAAATCATAAGTGTAAAATCATACCTGAACTAAAAATTTATTTAAATTTTTGATCCAAACTTCACTCCGTAGCGTGAAAATCTACCTTGACTAAAATTTCGTTAGTCAACCGTTAAGTAATACAAAACGACGTCGTTTTGTAGTGAATTTTTTTTCTTCAAAAAGTTACTTTGGCTGGAGATTGAACCATGGTCCCACGGATATTATACACTTTTACTTACCACTGTGCTACAAACCATCTATGGTGTTTCTATTAATTTTAAAATATCTATATTTGATTTGTATATTCTGAGAAAAAACTATTGTTTAGAATTTTTTTTGTTACAAATTATAATTGCATCAATAATTTATATATTTTTTTTTTTTTTACACTCATACACATGTAATAAAACATTTCATAAATTATTCCATATAATTTAAAATGATATTTATCAAATTGTTATCTTATTTTAAATATTTGAATTTTAAAAATCTACATAGTTTGTACAAAATAACTTATGTTGTACATAGTTTGTATAAAAGTGTACTAAATCAAAACTTAACTTTTAAAATAAAAATGTACAAAATAAAAACTTATGTTTTGATTTTTAAGAGAAAATATAATCACTTATTATATGTAGATTCTTGATGCAATTATAATTTGTACTAAAAAAATTTGTAACCAAAAATAGTTTTTATACAAATAAAATATAGATATTTTAAAATTGGGAAAATTCCATATAAATACCCCAACTGAATTCTATTAAGCTTTTTAATACCCAAACTTTTTCATTACCCAGTTTAATACCTCAACTAATTATTCTGCCCATTTTAATACACCAACTTTTATAACTGTATCTATTTTAATACTCAAACTTTGTTTATTTTAATTAACAATACTAATAAATTTCAAATGAAATTTTTAAAAATCTCCAAAATCTAAGAAAAAATATTTAAATTTTCTAAGTTTATTTGAAGATTTAAGAAATAAGGTAAACAAACTCTGTAGAAAATTTAATGTTTTAAAAAAAAAATTTTTGAAGGAAAAAAAATAATTTACTTTTTATTTCAAAAAAACAAACTAAATTCAATATATAAAACTTAAAAAACTTATTACAAAACTTAAGATTATAAAAAATTTATTTAATTTCGTTACTCAAACATATAATAAAATTAATTTTTGTTGTGAAGTTTAGACATTTTTAAAATTTCATTGGAAACTTATTAGTATTGTTAATTAAAATAAACAAAGTTTGAGTATTAAAATGGATACAGTTATAAAAGTTGATGTATTAAAGTGGGCAGAATAATTAGTTGAGGTTTTAAACTAGGTAGTGAAAAAGTTTGGATATTAAAAAGCTTAATAGAATTTAGTTGGGGTATTTATATGGAATTTTCCCTTTAAAATTAATAGAAACACCGTAGATGGTTCGTAGCACAGCGGTAAGTTAAAGTGTATAATTTCCGCGGGACCATGCTTCGATTCCCAGCCAACATAACTTTTTAAAAAAAAATCATTACAAAACGACGTCGTTTTGTATTACTTAACGGTTGACTAACGCCATGTTAGTCAAGGTAGATTTTCACGCTACAGAGTAAAGTTTGGGTTGAAAAGTTAAATAAATTTTTAGTTCAGGTATGATTGTGCACTTATGATTTGTTTGGGTATAAAAAGACACGATCCGAAATGTTGGAGTCGAAAAAGGCCCTTTTCCCATTCATATACATGTTCGGATACAAATCAGTTTTTCCAGTATTAGTTTTTTTCTGATTTTAAAATTACTCTGTTCGGATATTATAAAATTTTGGATGAGACTCGAATCGAATTCTTCAAGGTCCGGATAGATTTGTAGAAACCTCTAAATATTTTAATAACATGTATATGTATGTGTGAAACTGTTATTAAACAATTTATGGTCCACCGGAGGTCATGGAAAATGACTAAAATCACAGCAAAGACATAGTATATGGCATGACGTTGAAGCTTCCCACCGGACTTGAAACACCGGGGAAGAGAAGACCCATAGAGAAGAAAGGAGATTGCAGCGGTGGAGCTTGTCGTGGCTGTGATGGCTGTGATGAATTACGGTGGAGAGCTTGCCGACTTACAACAATCCCAGGTCTCTGGTCCATGACGGTGAATCAGCCACTGTGAACTGAATTTGTGGCTCAAGTTCGAGATCAAAGGTTTTATTGTATCTGCAAAATAAACTAGAAAAATGTCTCCCAGTGTAAATATTTCATTACACAAATGCTTTTTACGTAGATTTAAAGTCTTACGTTATCATCGTCCACCATTAAATTTTTAGTAATGTGACATGTATTATCTTCATTATAATGAAGGGGGGGGGAATCAAAGAATTTCATCTTGAAGTTAATTGCCTTGCTGCATGCACCAGAATGCGTAGATAGTAATGTCAGTATGTTGGAGTTCATACACTTGATTGTTATTACCCAAAGTATATAATTACAATGTTGATAGGACGAACAAATGATCAATGATGTGCTCTCCAATAAACAAGGATCACATGTTGGAGATTTGACATCGCAAAGTTGATTAATTGGAAGGCTTTCCTTGCGGCACAGATAGTTCATGTGGTAATAGCTGGAAACTCTACTGAATTTTCCCGTAAACTCTTAACTGGACAGGTACCAATAACTTTCCCTGCTGGTATAGAGCTTCATTTATCTGCCTCTTGTGATCGTTATTGGTTTATTTTCTGCAGAACATGGCCTCCAAAGATCAACCAATATTGTATGAGCCCATCAAAGAGCTTGATGCATGTTAAACCATAACGGAGTTAAAATAAGATCCACCTGTATCTTATCAATTCTATTGACATGAAAGTGGTATATTCGAGTTTTGTTTGTGGCAGTGCCGGCCCTGAATATTTATAGACCAGAAGCAATAAATAAAAAAAGGCCTATTGGTGTAGTTAGGAATTGAATACATTACCTATATTTCTATTTTAACTTTCATTAAGAGCTAAACTACTTAATGTTTTATCAAATATTTTGGCTGATATTTTACATAAACAATAAAGGCCGGAAGCTTATGCTTCCTTTGCTTCCCTTCAGGGCCGCTACTGGTTTGTGGACTGTTTTAGATAGCTGCAGGAGTTTCAGTAGATATAATACCAGGCCTGAATGATTTACCTAACTTCGCAATTACCTCAGCAGGTCTGCAAATACATAACAAAGTACACTAAAAATAAACAATATTAGACTATTAGTATTGACGAATCTTACCTTAAGGCCGTTTTTCTTTTCTTCAGCCTTTGATCAGATGCATTTTCCCTGAATTAGCACCTTATAACACCTTCAGTTCATGTAGAAATCCTCACTCATTTGATGTGGATATAAGGTATGACACTTTTTGCAGATTTCTTTCATATCTCAAATTCACCAAACATGGTTGTTTTTTTGGGAGGTGAACCTTGATCACAACACTGTAATATGTTAGACCAAGCAAATACTTCAAATTATACAACAAATCAACAAAAAACAAAACTTAATAACTTCAAATGTCGAACAATATTTCACGCATAGCGTAGACAAACCATTAGTACATAAAAAGAAAGAAGAAACAAGTCTCATCAAATCACAACAAGCTTCCAAAGAGCAAGTACATTAAACTTACCTTATTAACTTTTATACTATATATAACCCATAGATTATTGGAACAACTCAATAACATTAATTAACATTTCAAGCCGAACATCTCTTAGTAAGCGTGACTCTAAGCCCATATCTCATGAGCAGATTAAGATGAGCCTTTGGCTTAATCTTATGTCCTTTGACAAGCTTAACGTCATAGTGTTGTAATATCTCAACGACTGTGGTCTTCATTGTCACCATAGCTAAATGCTTACCAGAACAAGTTCTCGGACCGGTGTTAAACACAAGGAACTTGGAAGAAGGCTCATGTCTCAACTCACCAGTCTCTGAAACCCATCTCTCTGGCTTAAACTCCAACGCGTCTTCTCCCCATACAGATCTCATCCTCCCTAACGCATAGATAAGGAAGATAACGTTAGAGTTTGCATCCACTTTGTGACCACTTGGAAGTACATCTGATTTTACAGAAGTCTTGCGCTCGAAAGGAAGTGGTGGATAAAGCCTCATCGTTTCATACAAAGCTGCATGTAGATAAACCAACTTGTTCAAAAACTCTCTGCGTTCGATAGCCGACCATATTGGCCTCTCTTGACTACCTTCCGGTAGATTTGCGTTGATCTCGTTGCGAATCTTGTCTTCCACGTTAGGGTTTTTCGAGAGGAGCCAGAAAAACCAAGTGAGAGCACTGGAAGTAGTATCTCTCGTTGCCATAATGATAGCTAAAATGCTGTCTCTAAGAAACTTATCATCGCTTGGATCCAAGAGCTCGTATTTGCTTGTATCTAGATTTATGTAATACGTTAAAAGATCTTCTTCACTTTCTCCATCTAAATGAACATGATCATGACCAATCCCTTGTTGTGATCTTATGATCTCTTCTCTCTTTGCAGCTATGTATTTTGCGCACACTCTATCAAATGTCTTACCCGCTTCTATCAGCTTCTTCTCCTTTCCCAGTCCAAACCGGTTTTGCAACTTCCACAAGAATCTTGGCATCATAACCCTAAACACAATGGCTTCCCCAGCATCCTCAAAGGCTTTTGCCAGCTCATCTTCCGGCATTTCAATGGAGAGAGACTGAGGATCAGAACCGGATACTAAAACTAAGGATATATCGAACATGAATCTCCGGAACACATCTTGCAAGTCCACCACTGTGCCTTCCTCTGAATAGTGACTGAATAGAGGAAGAAGCACGTTCTTGAGTTGACTTGTTGTGACATTTAATGACAAGTTTTGGAAACCTTGACGATTGAGGATGACGAGAGAAGACATTCTTAGATTCTTCCATAGCTCTGAGTCGGTAGCGAAGAGCGGGTCTCCGAAGACTTCTACTATCTCGTTGAACTCTGGTCCTTTGATGTAGTTGGAGAAGTTTGAGGTCAATATATGATGTATGTTGGCTGGATCAACGGTGATTAAGGCGTCCATTTTTCTAGCAAACCATGGACCTTTGAATAGAAATGTTAAGTTGCTCTTCTCTAAGACCCAGATGAAAATATCGATCCGTTGTGACCACAAGAACAGAGCTGGAAGCATCCCAAGAACAGGCCAGTTCCATGGGTAGCTTCTTTTGTTGAGAAGGTAACCAGAATGTTTCTTGTTGAGAAAGTAACAGAGGATGATGAGAAAGCAGGAAAGAGATAATGATGCTTCTAATAAGCTGATAGAAGCCATTAGGGAAGTTTGATAGTGGGTGGTGGATGGAGAAGAAGAAGATTAAGAAGAAGAAGAATGAACTGGATTTATACCTGGTCAACGCTAGTATTGTTTCACCAAGTTATTCTAAAAGAAAAAATACATTCGATTTTATATCAGAGGAATCTTAGAACGTGAATTCCACTTCACAAGGATCACATCACATGTTTTAGATTTGACATTGCAACTTAAATTATACACACGTATAAGTCACCATTGAAATAAGTAGGGAAACAGCGTGGCTGTATTTAAATAACTAGGTGGATAATAATCATTGTAAGGAGTCACAGCTCACGTTTCTATCTATCTTGTAATAAGCCATTTTTCACATCCCATTCTCATAAGCCTACTTTGAACTCGTTTGTCAACCATTTGAATCAGTTGCGCTGGTGGTGTTGGGGGGCTTCTCCGTGCTTTCTCTGATTGTGTCCACACCAGATAATATGTAATGCAGTTTGGAAGACATATCTCCCAAGGAACATATCACACTTATTGCCCAAAAAGCAGTTGCAGAATTGTATACTCTAATTGTTCATATACCTTGTTGGAAGCATTTGTTGCGTTAATTAGAATCCTTTCCATATCTCATTGGAGTACTTACATTGAAAGAAGAAGTTGATCCCTCGTTTCCAGAGGTTCATTTCGGAGCACACATGAGCTGGAACGTTGAGGACGATAGCTTCCAAATCAGTTTTAAACTGGTATCAAGAACTATTAAGATACAGTTGCAAGTCCTCGCAGTAGTTATAACCTGGAAATAGTGAAGCGTCAAACACGACAAAAGAGAGGGTTAAAACTGTTATGTTAAATTGTGAAAGTTCCGACTTACTTGTCTTCCTCTACCCTTTCCAGTCCTAAGCACCTTCAAGGCTTCAATAATACCAGGACGATCAAATAACTGCAAGCTCATTAAAACGAGTAGCATCAACATCCAATGAACAGTTACAAGTTATTAAAAGATTGAAGTATATTCTACTACTAGATATAGGAGCGAGACTCAAAAAAAGGGTAGGACATGAGCATTTATATAAAGCCAAAAGTATTTGCATTGTCCTCCTTCAAGAACTTTCAAGACGAAGTAGGAGAGGGACAACTTGAGAACAATAAGCATATAATCTCTCCTCAGAAAGAGCAGATTAACAAAAGAGGCAATTATGTAGGTATAGTACCTGTATTTTTAGTTCCACAGTATGTAATAACTAACTCCGGGAATGCAAGTCAATGTAGTGAACTCATAACAAGCAACCTGAAAAAAAGAAACAGTGTGCAGAAACTATAACATCAGCCAGAACACAGTTCTAATTCCAAGATAATATGTTGAGCTATCCAAGACAAGAATTACTTATATGGCACAAGAAATGGGTCAAAGCGACTAGAAGGAGATGACTCGGATACATGGTAGTTTGAAACCTCCAGTTACATGCAAGAACTCTAACACTGAAAATGTTCCTCTCAGCTTGTTCAAGAGCGTAGATTTTGCCAACCGAAGGAAACCCAACTCTAGAGTCTCCTCTTTTCGTGACGTCAAAACCTTTGCCAGCTCCACCATCAATCACCTTTGGTAGGTGGTGCAATAAGGCCTTCGTAGCTTAGTAAGTTCACCTGCCAAAATGTAATTCAGAGATAAGCTGCTGGCGCCAGGAAAAAAAGGTACCAGACCAATACAGATTATGTAATGATATTTCATGTCTGAGTCTGACTAGTAAACATATTAACTCAAGCTTTTAGCTCCCAACGAATACTCTTAAGGGTCCATGAAATGATTTGCAGTTTGCACTGCGTTATTTAGTATTAAAAAAAAACTTTTTTAATCCAAGGAACTTCAGAAGAGATCAGTCATATACTATCAAAACCCATCCTTTTGCTTTAGTCCATGACTTGAGAGTTCATACAAAACCTAACGATTCTGACCACAAGTTATACAATACTTTTTCATGTGCTTGCCTAGTGGTTGGGCTATCATACATTCTTCTATCTAAACAGATATGCCCAATTTACATTTGATCACAGTATAAACACCTCAACCATTCAAACCTCACACTCTAAAAACTACAAAAAAAAAAGAAAGAAATGAAAACATGAAGGAGCTATTGAGGAGAAAAAAAATGAACCTTTAACAAACCCAGATGATCCGCGATGGCTTTATTCTTGTGTTTCTTAGCCATCTGCAACATATAAAAAAAATGAGCCAAACAATTAATAAAGTTTTCAAATTTGAAGCTCTATGCAACCAAACCTTGAAGATCACAAGTGAAATAATCATAGGATTGATTACCTCATCTTCGATTTCTTTAATATTCTGCATAATAATGAACATGGTTGCACTTAAAGTAGTGAGAGAGCTCACGTATAACACCGGAATCAGAGATTCGACGACGGAGGAGAAAGAAGCAGAGAAAACCGAGGACAAAATCTGTCCGAAATTGTCTAGAACTGGGCCTGAGGCAATAAGGCCCATATAATAACAGCTAAATACCCAATTTATTTTAATGATCCTCGGCCCATTTACTATTTTATTTTTCTTGGAACAAAAAAAAAGCATAATTAAGTTCCTTCCAATTAAGTACGAAGCGAGATCTATTCGACGAAACTGGATCACTTCTTCTCCTTCCTCCATCGATTTGCATCCTTGTGTGTTCTCACATCCACGCCTCTCTGGTAATGCTACTGATCGCCACCGTGTAGCTCCCTCTTAAACTGATCTGATCCAATCCGATCCGAAGGTGAATTTCTTTTTCTCCTCCTTCGGGATCTCACTATTTAGTGCACTCAGATCTGTTTTGCGATTTCGCTTTTAACGAAATGACTCCGTTATTGTGATCTGGTGTTTGTATGTAGAGCTGTTTTTTCCGTTTCGAAAAATATGTTGACGAAGTTCGAGACGAAGAGTAACAGAGTTAAGGGCCTCACCTTCCACCCTAAACGTCCATGGATCCTCGCCAGTCTCCACAGTGGTGTGATCCAGCTCTGGGATTATCGTATGGGTACTTTGATCGATCGTTTCGACGAGCACGAAGGTCCCGTCCGTGGTGTTCATTTCCACAATTCACAACCTCTCTTCGTCTCCGGAGGTATATATATATATGCTTAGTATTGAATCTTCTTAGCCTGCTCGATTCCTAGATCTAGATTGATGGTTTAATTGATTAGTCCCAACCTCGGTTTATTTGGATCACATTTTGTAGTGATAAATGCTTATAATAAGTTAATTTTGTTGGCTCTTTGGATAATTGAACTTAGTTAACTGAAATCAGATTCCATATTACCTGTAAATGCAATTGTTCTTCACATTACTCATTGACAAGATTGTGTGTGTTTTGCAGGAGACGATTACAAGATTAAAGTATGGAACCACAAAACGCACAGGTGCCTATTCACTCTCCTCGGCCATCTCGACTACATCCGCACTGTCCAGTTTCACCACGAGAATCCATGGATTGTGAGTGCTAGTGACGATCAGACGATCCGTATTTGGAACTGGCAGTCACGGACTTGTATCTCTGTGCTGACTGGTCACAATCATTATGTGATGTGTGCTTCTTTCCATCCTAAGGAAGATCTTGTCGTGTCGGCATCTTTGGATCAGACTGTCCGTGTTTGGGATATTGGTTCGCTTAAGAAGAAGACTGTGTCTCCTGCTGATGATCTCATGCGGTTTACTCAGATGAATTCTGATCTTTTTGGTGGTGTTGACGCTATAGTTAAGTATGTTCTCGAAGGTCATGATAGAGGAGTCAACTGGGCTTCTTTTCATCCTACCCTTCCTCTCATTGTCTCTGGTGCAGATGACCGTCAAGTAAAGCTCTGGCGTATGAATGGTATTAAGTCTGTCTAAGAACTTTATAACCCATGTACTCTAAATTTCAATTTTATAATAGTGTAGCTGATGTGATTCATCGGTTCTTTTCAATTGTGTTGCAGAAACTAAAGCTTGGGAGGTGGATACCCTGCGAGGCCACATGAATAATGTCTCATCTGTTATGTTCCATGCAAAACAGGACATTATTGTATCCAACTCTGAGGATAAAAGCATTCGTGTCTGGGATGCTACAAAGCGAACTGGGATCCAAACTTTTCGCCGTGAACATGATCGATTCTGGATTCTTGCAGTTCACCCTGAGATTAATTTACTGGCAGCGGGGCATGACAATGGTATGATCGTGTTCAAGCTTGAGAGGGAACGTCCTGCATTTGCTGTGAGTGGTGATTCTTTGTTCTATGCCAAAGATAGATTTTTGAGGTACTACGAATGTTCAACTCAGAAAGATTCACAAGTTATCCCTATACGGCGTCCTGGTACACCAAGCTTGAATCAAAGTCCCAGAACTCTGTCATACAGTCCGACGGAAAATGCAGTTTTGATTTGCTCAGATCTGGATGGTGGTTCTTACGAGCTGTACATCATACCCAAAGAAAGTGTCGGCAGGAGTGACGTTGTACAAGATGCAAAGAGGGGCACAGGTGGTTCTGCGGTATTCATTGCCCGTAATCGGTTTGCTGTTCTTGAGAAAAGCACCAGCCAGGTGCTAGTCAAGAATCTCAAGAATGAGGTGGTTAAAAAGAGTTCTCTGCCTATTCCCACCGATGCTATCTTTTATGCTGGGACTGGAAATTTGCTCTGTAGATCTGAGGATAAAGTGGTTATATTTGACCTTCAGCAAAGGCTTGTACTTGGTGAACTTCAGACACCGTTTGTTAGGTATGTTGTTTGGTCTAGTGATATGGAGAGTGTTGCGTTACTCAGCAAACATACCATCATTATTGCGAGCAAAAAACTTGTCCTCCAGTGCACGCTTCATGAGACAATACGTGTGAAAAGTGGAGCTTGGGATGAAAATGGTGTCTTCATTTACACAACTTTGAACCATATCAAGTACTGCCTTCCTAATGGAGATAGTGGAATCATCCGAACCCTGGATGTCCCTATCTATATCACCAAGGTTTCTGGAAATACGATCTTTTGCTTGGACAGGGATGGGAAAAAC